TGCAACATTTTGTTTTAATGTTTTAGGTGCATAATAATTTATTTTACCTGACCACATATTTGCTATTAAATCACCATATGCTTGTGCAACATCACCTTTCATACCTAATGGATTATCACGATTAATATGTTGTAAATATTCACGTCGAAGAAAATATTCTGTTAATGATGGTACATTTGATATACATTGTAATGCTGAATTCATAAAACATGTATTACCTAAATTTGATAAACCACATAAACCAGGTGTATATGATGTTCCAGATGATGGTATAGGTGATAAATTATTACGAGATGATAATATAATTGGTTCATATGTTATTATAGCATTTTTAGATAAATCAATATCAGCAAGTGTACTATTCGAACGTGCATCTATTATTTCCCAATTATCACCATATTCATCTGTTGATGTATATAAACGATAATTTGTCAATGAATCTGATGGTAGAGAATAAATTTTACAAATATCATTTTTTAAATCATCTAATTTTGTTCGACGACTACGATAAATTTGTTTTGTTGTTGATAGATTTTGTCGTGTTTTACGTATACGTAATGGTATTAAATATGTTTCAATAATTGTTTGAAAATCACCTGATGGTATTACTTTACGTATAATTTCATGACCAATTTTTTTATATGTTTGAACAAGATCTTGATAAAGTTCATATGGTATAAATGTATAATCATTACCTTCAACAGCATCTAAACGTAATTGTACACCATCAGGATGATCAGTTGTTGATGAATCGACTAGACTAGTAAAATCAATTGGACCTGGTGGAGAATTTTTGTCTGATGGGCAATCAATACCAACAAAACGTTTCCAATGTTCAAGCCATTTAGCATCAATAACAACATATTTATCATTTTCTTGTTGATCACGTGATAATAATTTTATATATTGATCAACTGGATTTGATGGCATAATGAATATTTATTTATTTAATTTGGTTTTTCTTTTTTTTTTTTATTCTTTGATTTTTAGGATAGTAGATTTATAAGCGCGAAATATAAGTTTTGTTAAGAAAAAGAAAAATCTAGAAATGAGTCAACATGTATAATACTAAAGAGATTGACGAATGTATCTTTTGTTTGGAGCAAACAATATGCAATAGGAGACAAGATGAAATACGTAGCAACAAATATTTGTACTTTATAAGCGAATTTTAGCGATGTGTCAGCACATCGATGAAGAAAACTTACGCCATGGAATAATCATATTTCTAAAAAAAGCCTAGTCATTCATTGTTATTCATAAGTTTAATAAAAAAAAAGTACGAATGACGATATTTATAAGAAAAAAAAGAAAATTTTATATAAAAGATGCATAGATGACTTAATAAGGTATTTTATGGATTGAATAAGAAGTAATCCAATCTAAGTTCTTTCCCTCTTTACTTACCCTATTTACTCATTTATAATCTCATCTTTCGACAAAAAAAAAAAATACCATGATCGGTGGTGTTTTTATCTATAATCATAAAGGCGAAGTTCTTATATCAGTAAGATTAAATAAAACAAAAATCAAAAAATTTACAAAGTTTGTTTTTTTTTTGTTTTTGCTTTAGCGTGTTTATCGTGATGATATAGGACGAAATGCTGTTGATGCATTTCGTGTTAATGTTATTCATGCACGACAACAATCACGTTTTCCAGTTGTTAATATAGCAAGAACAAGTTTTTTTTATACAAAACGTTCAAATATATGGTTATGTGCTGTTGCTAAACAAAATATAAATGCAGCAATGGTATTTGAATTTTTAAATAAAATGATTGATATAATGCAATCATATTTTGGTAAAATAAGTGAAGAAAATGTTAAAAATAATTTTGTTTTAATTTATGAATTATTGGATGAAATACTTGATTTTGGTTATCCACAAAATAGTGATACAGGTGTATTAAAAACATTTATAACACAACAAGGTGTAAGACCAATAACACGTGAAGAACAAACAAATGTAACATCAGCTGTAACAGGACAAATTGGTTGGCGACGTGAAGGTATTAAATATCGTCGTAATGAATTATTTCTTGATGTTATTGAATCAGTTAATTTACTTATGTCACAACAAGGTCAAGTATTAAGTACACATGTTGCTGGTCGTGTTGTTATGAAAAGTTATTTATCTGGTATGCCTGAATGTAAATTTGGTATTAATGATAAAATAACAGTTGAAAATCGTACAAAAAATCAATTAGATTCAACAAATTCAACTAATAATAATAATCCAACAAATTCAACAACAACAACAACAACAACAAAAACAGCTATTGCTATAGATGATTGTCAATTTCATCAATGTGTTAAATTATCAAAATTTGAATCTGAACATTCAATATCATTTATACCACCTGATGGTGAATTTGAATTAATGCGTTATAGAACAACAAAAGATATTAGTTTACCATTTCGTGTTATACCATTAGTACGTGAAATAGGTCGAACAAAAATGGAAGTTAAAGTTGTTGTTAAATCAAATTTTAAACCAACACTTATTGGACAAAAAATTGAAATACGTATACCAACACCACCAAATACATGTGATGTACAATTATTATGTATGAAAGGTAAAGCTAAACATAAATCATCTGAAAATGCTATTGTATGGAAAATGAAACGTATGGGTGGTATGAAAGAATCACAATTAAGTGCTGAAATTGAATTATTACCAAATGATAAGAAAAAATGGAATCGTCCACCAATATCAATGAATTTTGAAGTACCATTTGCACCATCAGGTTTTAAAGTTCGATATCTTAAAGTATTTGAACATAAACTTAATTATTCAGATTCAGAAACTATTAAATGGGTACGTTATATTGGTAAAAGTGGTTTATATGAAACACGATGTTAAAATTAAAGAATTAATATTTTTCTTTTCGATGTTCAATGTTGTTCATTTTTGTTCCCTGTTAACTTTATTTTCTTATATTTACATTCCGTATTTAAACAATAACAACAACAGATCTCGTCTTACCTTTATATGTAAATTCTTTTCTTTGGTATGATCATTATTTATGTAGAATATATATATATATATAAAATAAACTTTACAATTCTTGTCTCTTATCTCTGATTGAAAAAAAAAGAACAAATTTTTAAATAATTATGAAATTTAAAAATATTAGATAGTTTTTATGTTGCTAATGCTAGATTAGATCTTATGAATGATAGTTTATTGAATTTTGTCTTATGAAAGAAGTTCTTCAATTGATTAATCACGTTTCAACCGACCTACAGATGTTTGCAAAAAAAATTTGAAAATCTTGTTATGCCAGTATTTCCCTATTAAATTGTTTCATATATTGCTTGATAGCCTATGACGAGTACTATCGAACACCATATTTCAATATTTTATTCGTTCACCTTTAGAAGAAATAAGAGACAAACATCTTTCTTTCATGGACATTATACAATTTTTTTACAATATTAATTTCAACATTTTAAAATTCTTCAGCTAAGAAATGTTCAAGATCATTAATATTTTTCGGTTTTCTTTTTTCAATTTTTCGTTTTATGATCGACCATATTAACATTAGGACTGTTCGATGGTCAATCTAACAATTCCGATACATTTATCGCTGATAAATTGTCTACAAATATTACTCCGATATTCTGGATTGTTGTCCTGTTATAGACATCAATTTTGACGAAATTGTCGTAAAGTGAAAAAATAAATAGCAATATTACATTGTTTTCGTTTATTACTTACGTCTAGCAACAGGTTGAAAGTAATTTTCAAGTGTATGGAATTTTTTGACGATTTTTTGACGCACATTTTAATTCATCACATTTGAATGTTTTGACCAAGGACGATTAGTATTAGGAAAAAGTTGAAATGAAGATTCATTTGTAAAAATTGTATGTGTAAAATCTTTATTTTTATGTTGTTTAGTTCATTGTACACGTCGGCTTTTTTTGTCACTGAATTTTAACATATGAGTATGTTATGGTAAAACATTCTTATAATTATATTCATGAAGATGATGATTGATTATTGATGTAGATACTAATTTACGATGTATTTTGGATAACCTTCCCTTTATTTCATTATTTTCGTTTTTTTGCAAACACCTGTATGTGCATCGTGCCGATTTTAGTGAGCTATGAATATATTGAAGAGTTTAGGTGTTTGGCTTATAGGTATGAAGATACGGCATTTTTAACTCAATTCTGTGACGTCTCTGAGGAACAACTAGAAAATTGATTTTCAAATGTCGAATTGAAACTTTGCACAGAAGCAGATTTTATTGAGAATAATTTATTGTAAGAGTTTAAGACTTTTCTGCAGACTTCATTAGTGATACTACATTCCTCGTTTTGTCCTGAGATCTTACGATCTGTAGCCATTAGAACCTGCAAGATTCAAAATTTATGGACGTGAATCCGATCGAATCATACTTGGATAGGCGCTCCGAGGATACAGGATACTTTTTTTCTGGTTTTTTAATATTCGGTGATTAGTACATCCTACACAATTTTCAGATCTGAAACCAACCGGACCAGTTCTAATCATGTGCAAATATGACTCAATAATATGAACTGTAATAAACAATACGTTGTAAAATGAAACAACGAGCACTTCTTGTTTTTTTTGTTCAGACTATGACTATTTTTGACTTGATCAATTTATTTCTAGTCAAATTCTAATACCATCCAGGCAACTTCAGATTTTGATCGAATTCCAATGTTGACTGTAATGTATAACTAGGACTTCTTCATTCCATATATATTTATTCATTCATGAATTGTTAGTCGATAGAGGTCACTAATAACCTGCTCTGTTACAACACATATTCTTGAAAATAAGAGAAATGAATAAAATAATAAATCTTAATTTTACTTGAAAATTATTTTTGAGAAATAAATTCAATAAAGCTCAAAACATATATAATCATCATTAGAAGTGTAGTTGCCAAGATACTTTACATTGACAAAGTAGACAGGGTTGAATCAGTTCATATCGACTACAGAACAATTTTACCTTGAACATGGCAGCTCCTACAGGAGGCATATCTGCTCTATTAGGTCCTTTAGCTCCACCATCGGCGGATACAGCAGCAGCAGCAGCAGCAGTTACTTCGCCATCAGGAAAATCAATTGCACAATTAATGAACGAAGTTGATCAATTAAAAAAAGATGTTGATAATGCAAAAAAAACCTTGGAAAAAATCGATACTGGACGAAAAAACGCTGCTGCTAATCGTGATCGATCAGTCGAAGGTCGTACACAAATTCGAGATTTAAATGAACGTGTTACCAATCTTCAAAAACAAATAGATTCTATGACAAAAGATACAGATCCAAATGTACCAACAAAACAATTTGAAAAAACAAAAAAAAATGCATTAAAAACTTTAACAAATCTTTCAAAAGATCTTAATCACGCTGATAAACATCTTGAAAGAGCAACTGGAACAATACCAGTAACTAGTGGATCTACAGCCGATCTTCAAACTACAGCAACACCTGCCGATGCTCAACCTATAGCTGCTCCACGTGCAACAACTGAAAAGGAAACTACAACAGGAGTTGGAGCACTCATAAGAAAACTTCCATTTGGTAGTAAAAAGAAATCATCACCAAAACAATCACTTGATACTACGACGCCGACAGCACCAACAACATCACAACCTATTGATAAAACAATTGATACAGTACAAGAAAAGACGAAAGATGCAGTAGAAAGTGATGATGAAGACGAAGACGAAGATGAGGAGGATGAGGAAGATGAAAGTGATGAAGATGTAGTGTTAGATAAAAAGAAAGGTAAAAAAACAAAATTTCTAAATAATATGTTGAAAAAAAAACAATTTATTTATTTTCAGAATCCAAAACATCACCATCTCAATTAACGAAGAAAACTGAACCAATTATTCCAAGTCGAAAAAAAATCGAAGTATCTGATGATGAAAGTGATGCAAGTGACGATGAAGATGATGATGCTGCTAATGATGATCGTCGATTATTAAATGAACTTAAAAGTCAAACATTAACAGATGAACACGATAAAGATCTTCCTAGTCATGATCGTCGATCACGTTCACCAGCAACACCACGTAGTAGTAAAAAAATACCAGAAATAAAAACTGATTTAGCACCATCTTCATCACCAAAAATTAAAAAAACTACAGCTGTAATACCACCACCACCACCTCCAGCATCACGTCGAAAAACACAAAGTCCAAAAGGACGTCCTGAACCTTCTATAACTAAAAAAAAACGAGATGATGAAAGTGAAGAAGATGAAGAAGAAGATTCCTATTTTGAAGAAGAAGAAGAAGAAGAACTTCGACATTTACGTGAACCAGATGATCGTGAAGAAGAAATATCTGATCATGATTATGATGAACAAGAAGAAGAACCAACAGTAGTTAATGCATATGTACAAGAACTTCGAACAAATAAATATCCACCAGGAACACAATTTCTTGTTACACAAAATTTTACTGGTGAACAAACTGGTGATTTAACTGTACGTAAAGATGATATTGTAACACTTGTTGAACAACGTTCTGATGATTGGTGGTTATTTAAAAATATTCAAACACAAAAAGAAGGTTTAGTACCAATTAATCTTATTCAATTGTTATCTAAACAACAAATACGACGTCGAATAAAACCAAGTACATCAGCAATAACGCTTGTTGCTGCATTTAAAGATAAAAATAATATTCCTGCTGGTTTTATATCATCAGATTTAGCAGAATTAAGTCAAATTGAAGAATATCAATTATGGCGAAGTCTTGTACCAAAAATGACTGAATCAAACCTTGCTTTTGTTGATCTTTATTGGCGTACTGATAGAGATAGATTACAAGTACAACAAGTAACACATCAAAAAGTTCTTACACTTAAAGAATGTGTTAAAATACCTCGAGCCAAAGGTGACCAGGTAAATAATTTTCTATGTTTATAAAAAGTGAAAAAAGAAGAGAATTACAAAACTAAAAAGAAACAAAACAAAACATTGAATTGTTTTCATTTTATTAATAAAATATTGTTCTTTGTTTTTTTCAATAATAGTTAGAATATATTTGGTATGTATTTTTCGCTCAATTGATTCGAATGATATGTTTTTTTTTTTAAATTTTATATAGTAAATATTTCATTTTATATAGATTCGTGTTCTCGATCGATGTGTTCGTGTATGTCTTTTTGATGGTGTTGATATCATTTCGAATATTCATACAATTCGAGCACTTATTCCATCAAAAGTTGATGACCGAGATTTAACTGAAGATTGGCATTTTGTACGTAATGATATAAATACATTAAGTGATGAACAACCTGAATTACTTATACGTTCAAATGTACCTATTTCTGGTCGACATTTAAAATTACTTATAGAATTATCACAATGGTGTCAATCAACAGTAACACAGGAAAAATGTGAAATTGGTTGTGGTTGGTCAATGGTTTCAATTGATGATGATGAACCACCATTAATAACTAATACAAAAGGTTATAATGAACTTTTAAAAGGTGGACATATAGACGAAACAAATGTTCTACTTGATGCTCAATATAAAGTTCTTCGTTCTGATGGTATATCAGGTATGATTGATCGTTTTAAACGAGCACGTATTAAATTTTCAATTGAATCACGTGAAGATGATATTGATTTACTTTATGATAATTTACCAACTCAATCAATTATTATTCCAATAAATTTAATAAGACCTGTAGTTTTTTTTCGAAATGAACTTGCATATCAATTACATGAACGTCATCATCCAACTGGTCTATCAACAACACCAATATCATCAATATTTTTAAGTACATTTCTTCAATCATTATTACAACCTGATCTTATATATACATTAAATCGATTATATCGTTTAAGAAAAGATCGTTATCTTCCATCATCATCAAGTTTACAACAACAACGAAAATTATTTATAAATACATATGAATTATTTACATATCCTCTTCTTCAATATCGACAATTACCATTATATGATTTTCATGATAAAATAACATTAAATGAACGACGACATTTAATTAATAATACAATTAAACGATTATTACCAAGAAAAAAAAAGCCTGGAGATGATATTCTTTCATTATTACTTGATCCTACTCTAACAGATAAATGGACACCATTTACAACAGATGAAATTGGTTTTACATTAGAAAGATATATTCATGATTTTACAAATGATATTGTAGCTTAGATTTTAGTGTATTGTAAACAAAAAAAAAAAAGAATTTTCATTAAAATGAGTATTGTGTAAATAAATAAACTTGAATTTTTAAATTTAGTTTACATTCAGAGGGCTTTATTCAAGTAAATAAAATATTATCTATGAAAAAATCATTGACAGACTTTTTCTTTCTTTAATATGTATCAAAATATAAATTGTTTATCGAACAAGTTTTCTTTTGTTATCATGCTATAGATATTTACTAATCATATTTATTGTCTCACAGAGAATATTTTTAACTTTGTAATGCATCTTTACGAATAAAATCTTTTCACGTTTGTTTTGCAAGATAATTCATTGTCGAATATTTATTCAATTTTTTAGATTGAAAGCATAAAGAATAATTCAAAAAAAAGTTGATCATAATAAAAAAAAATTCTCATCATGTAGTTCTTTTGATTTCATGATATGTTTGAAAGTATAAAACGTAACAAAAAATAAAAACTAAAGAAATCTTTGACAACATATATCATAAAGATCAAATAAACAATTTATAGATTGAGAAGTTTTACTATGACAATTTATAACTATTTTTTTGATTGCTGGAAATATAACCAATTGAATACAAGTTTTATGTAATCAGCTGTTTGTTATTTATACTCTGGAAATAATCGGCTAGTCATTTAAACAAGCAAGCAAAACACAAGAAAAAGACAATAATTCGTTTTTTTTGTCCTATATTAAAAATTTACTTCTATTATTTATCATTACTGGAAGAAATAAAACAATAAAAAAAAAATTAAACTGTATCGTTTTTTTTGTTTTCAAACTTTTTATTCATTATAAATAACCCTTCCCTATCCCAATTAAATCTTGACGTTCCTATATTTGTGAATGTCAAAAACTAGTGGTAAAAATTCATCGATTCGCTTGAAACGCGATCATCCAAATAGTTCATTTGAAGAACCAATATCATCAACAAAATCTTCATCACCACCAATAAAAAAATTAAAGCATCAACATAATAGTACTACAGATTTAATGGATAAAGAAACACGTAATCGTTATCCAAATGGTTCATCATCGTTTATTTCATCAAATTCAACTAAAAAACTTGTTATTAAAAATTTAAAAAGTTCGTATAGAAAAACAAAAAAAAGAAAAATAGAAACATTTTATTTGTTTATTTATTTATTTTGTTTTATTAGCTTCATCACTTCTATTACCATCAGATTATTTTGATAAAATATGGCCATTACTTAAACAAGCATTAGAAGCTATACTTAATGGTACAACAAGTCCAACAAATGAAGAACAACTTTATCGTCATATTGATCATTTATGTACAACATCAACAAATGATACAAATTCATCACCACCAACTCTTCTTTATGATAATTTAAGAAAAGTACTTGATGAACATATTCAAACATTTCTACCTATTTTACTTAAGTAAACCTTTTTTTCTTTTTTAATTAAAATTTCAAAATAATATTTGTATATTTTTAGTGAAATAAATGACAGTAATGATTATCTTCGTGTACTTAATTCTATTTGGAATGATCATATTATACGATCAGTAAGAAATTTAATAATAAAAAATCATTTCAATTTTTTTTTTTTAGAGTCTTATCCGTCAATTATTTATTGTTCTTGATCGAACGTATGTTTTACATGCAGCTGTACCAAGTATATGGTATTTAATTTATCCTAGACGTTTTTATTTTTGGAAAATACTTTTTTTTTTGTTTAAGGGAACTTAATCAAGATTTATTTCGTCGTTATATTATGCAAAATTCAATTATTTCAAATAGGTAAGAGTTGTGATATATTGAAGGATTTTTGTTTTGTATGTTTTCATATGTAGATGTATCAATGGTATTCTTAAATTAATTGAACAAGAAAGACGAGGCGAAACAATTGATCGAAATTTAATTAAAAATCTTATTCGTATGTTAATTGATCTTCATGTAAGTTACAATCTTTTTTTCTTTTGAATTGTTCATCTCAGAATTCTCGAAGGAACTTCATTGTAACTAATGACTGTTTTGTCATGTCAAGATTTAGAACATGATAGAACCCGTAAGTTTTACCAAAAATTACCTGGAACTGAAACTTCAGTTCCCTAAATATCACATGGAATTGAAATCATTAAATAGAGATACGAAAATTTTAAATCTATTTTGAGAAATTTTCATTATTGAATTGTTGATATTAACTCTAGCACTACCAATCGGGGTCCATCATCTGCACTCCATTGTAGAAAAGAGAAATTGAACGAAAATATCTTAATATTTTTTCAGCTTCCAAATATGAAACCAGTTCAATTTGTTAGTTCGCAATATAATGAATCATTACTAATCTAATTGAAATAAATTTTTGTTGTGGATTGAAACTATCCAACTCGAAAACTTCGAAATTTTTACATAAGAATATCCAAAATACATTAATGGTTGTCGGTTATCTTATAATAGGAGGTATGTTCAGATTTCCAAAAGAGGAAATTACCCACATTTCTGAAATTTCCATCAGCTCGATAACTATATAGCAGTGCAAATCAAAAGTTTTTAGACATATTGGAAATTTTAGCAATTTCTGTAATTTCAGAAATTTCTGTAAGTACATAATCGCAAAAATTTCTAAAATTACATCATTTTAGGAAGTAACGTAAAATTCAGAACACAAATACTTGAAATCTCCGAAATTTCTGAAATTTCCTTTTTAGGAAGTCTGAATACTGCTGTCTCTAAAATAGACTTGGTAGAACTAAGATTAAAGACGATACATATTTGAGTACTTAAACAAAACAATGTTATACATATATACTGAAATGTTTAATCTCAAGAATGAAAAAATGAAGATTTAAGTATTTTTGTATCTATTTGATAATTTAACAATTTCGGTTCCAATCTTTTTGAAATCGCTGAACTCTTCTGTGGCAAGATGAATTTGTTGAGGTAAGGTTCCTTAAGCGAATTCGTTTTTCTTTCACAGCAAGGAATACGGACTTGATTCAAATGGTGATATAGATAGAAGACCTCGAAATCGGGCCACTTTTTTATGGCCCGACAAAATATTTCGTTCGATCATGCAGCCCGCTTCGAAGTCTGATAAGATAGTATGAGAGGTCGGCTATATGATGTATTATAGAAGGTGACTTTGTCTGTTTATATAGATTTTTCATAATTAAAATAGTTTTTTTCCATACAAAAATAGATTTAAGTGCTTCTTTTTTTTTAGTAAAGTGAAATTCTTTTATTTATTTTTAGCTTTATCGAAAAGATTTTGAACCATCATTTTTACAATCAACTGAAGAACTTTATCATAATGAAGGTCGTCAATTAATTCAAACATTAGAAATTAGTCAATATCTTATACATGTTGATCGTCGTATTCGTGAAGAACAAGCAAGACTAACAAATTATATTGATCAATCAACAAAGTAAAATAAAAAATATTCAATTTTTCTTTTTGTGTTCATTTTTATTTCTTAGAGTTCAACTTATTCATATTGTTGAAAATAATATAATTACACTTCATATTAAAAATATACTTTCAAAAGGTTTTAATATACTTATTAATGAAAATCGTTATACATCAATTGCATTAATGTATGATTTATTTCTACGAATTGGTCAAGTTGGTATTAGTGATCTTCGTGAAGCATTTGGAAATTATATAAAAGTAACAAAAAAATAAATTGTTTTTTTTATTTATTTATTCTTTTTTTTTTTTTTGAAGACATATGGTAGTGCACTTATAGTTGATGTTGATAAAGATGATAAAATGGTTGATGAATTACTTGAATTTAAAGAAAAATTAGATCGTTTTCTTCATGAATGTTTTCATGATAATGAAAAATTTTCTAATATACTTAAAGATTCATTTGAACATTTTATAAATCAACGTACTAATAAACCAGCTGAATTAATTGGTTTGATATTTTTCTTAATTGATTATATCATTTTGATATATTTGTTCTTTATTTTTTGTAGCTAAAGCTGTAGATGCAAGATTACGTTCTGGAAATAAAGAAGCATCAGAAGAAGAATTAGAAAAAATTCTTGATAAATTACTTATTCTATTTCGTTTTATTCATGGTAAAGATGTATTTGAAGCATTTTATAAAAAAGATTTAGCAAAACGTTTATTAGTTGGAAAAAGTGCATCTGTTGATGCTGAAAAATCTATGTTACTTAAACTTAAACAAGGTTCGAAAATTTTCATTTTCAATTATAGATAAATATACTTTTTTAATTATTTGATTAATTTGTTTTTCTATTTCTAGAATGTGGAAATGTATTTACAAGTAAACTTGAAGGCATGTTTAAAGATATGGAATTATCTAAAGATATTATGACAGCATTTGAACAAGTAAGATAAATTTTAAATAGATGAAATAAGAAAAATCAACTAAAGTTTAACAATAAGTTATAAGTAAAGATGAAAATCAAGCGCCTAACAAGGAAGGTATCCGAGATGTTCAGCTTAGATATGGGCAAGTTAATTCCGACCCGAGGATCAATTTTTTTCTGATTGGGACCGGGATCGAATTTTTTTTCTGACTGGAACCGGGACCGAATTTTTTTCCGGCCGAGGCCGAAAGCAAACTTTTTCTGACCGAGACGAAATTTTTTTTTGCTCGGGATTAAAAACGATTGATCCCGCTTATGGCTAGTCCAGCTTCATTTTCATTCATTGCTATCTTATTCGATAGATTATATTGAGATAAGAAAAAATCTCAGAGCCCATGGTCTACTGGTGAAGAGCCGTGACAGTTTTACTGGAATTTTTCTTGACACGCATATCATTAAGAGTTTTGGCTTAAAATTTCGCCTATAAATAGAGTTAATAGTCATTAAATGATAGTGAAGAACGGATGTGCGTGTAGTTGAAGAGAAGACTCATGTTCACACTCTAGCTAGTCTTAGTTGTAGAAACGACGTCGGGCTATTGAATCTACCGATAGGTAACATTTCAAATCGAAGGACAGGTATATTCTTCCTAATTAACATTCTTTTTAGCATTGGCATAGTCGTGAAGTACCTGGAAATATAAGTATGTTTGTTTCTGTATTAACAATGGGTTTTTGGCCAACATATCAACCAGTTAGTGCTATTCTACCGGCTGAAGTAAATGATTTATTTATCTTTATATTTATTTTTTCTAAAAAATATTTCTTTAAGCTTTGTCATTTACAAGAAATATTTACAAAATTTTATTTAAGTAAACATACAGGAAGAAAACTTCAATGGCAATATTCATTAGATCATTGTTTATTAAAAGGATGGTTAAAAGAAAAGGTTTGATTTTTTCTTTTTTTTTAATTGAAATGAAAATTAAAACAAACTTGTTTTTTTTAGACAATTAAAGAATTTCAAGTATCACTTTATCAAGCACTTGTTCTTCTTCTTTTTAATCAACATATTGATCTTAGTTATAAAGATATTCAAGAACATACGAAAATTCGTTCGTAATCTTTTTATTATTCTATTCATATAAATGTTTGTTCTTTTTTTTTTTTAGAAGAAGCAGAATTACAACGAACTTTACAATCCTTAGCTTGTGGAAAAATTCGTTTATTAAATAAAAAACCATTGGTAAAGAATATGATTGTTTTGATTATTATTATTTTGTTTGTTTGTTTTTGTCTAGAGTAAAGATATTAATGTAAATGATCGATTTACATTAAATACATCATTTGATCATAAATTAATACGTATAAAAATAAATCAAGTACAATTAAAAGAAACAGTTCGTAGAAAAGATTCATTGTGTTTTTCCTTTAAAAGAAATTTTGTTTTTTTTTAGCCTGAAGAAAATACTTCAACAACAGAACGTGTTGTACAAGATCGTCATTATCAAATTGATGCTGCTGTTGTACGAATAATGAAAACACGTAAAACACTTGCACATGCTCAATTAATATCTGAAGTTTTTGCTCAATTAAAATTTCCAATATCTGTATGAATAAATTCTTTTTTGTTTTGTTTTTTAGTTTCTTATTTTCTTTATTATTTTAGACAGGAATTGTTAAAACACGAATTGAAAGTTTACTCGAACGTGAATATATGAAACGATCATCGGATAATGCTAATGTATATGAATATGTTGCCTAAAATCTAAAGATAAAGATATATACGTAAATATATATATTTTAATAAATTTGTATGTTAAGTCATTTCTTCTATATATATTTTTTTTGTCCTATTATGCGCTTTTTTGTTTACCTTTTTTTTCTCAAATAACCATGTACTTATAAAAAGCGATGAAACCGATCTTTTTTCTTTTTGCTATTAAATAAAATAAGTGTGTATAACAAGAGACTTCTGTAAATGAATATTTTGGATTATTGTTGATTAATATGGACTGACTTATTCGGTACTGGTTTGTCGATCCGATTCTAAGTATGAACGGATGGGTGTGGTGTGTGGGCGTCGGTGTTGGTGGATACGGTCCAAAAAAAAGAGCCACATCTAGAGATGTACAGCACCGAAACCAAAAAAATTTTAGCGGGACCAGGATGAAGGCCGGAACCAGAAAAGCTTGGTCTCGCATATCTCTATTCACACTTTCCCTTATTACAGAGTGATGCTTAAACGTTTGATTTTCGATATGCTAAAGATACAGGTTTAGCTAGTATTATGTTTTGAGCACTAGATCTTGATGATTTTATTGATGGATTATGTAACGAAGGAAAATATCCTCTAATGAATAAAGCTGTTAATCACATTCATAGTCGAACTGAATGGATAAGACCAATAATAATAAGGAGTACCACCATAAATCCAACTATAACGTATGATAAGAGTGAAAACGTATTGTTTGTTATTATAACAAGTACGTGAAATGCATTTTTTGACTTTCAAAAAAATTGAACTTTTCGTTGATAGCTGGGCACAAGACCACGCTGAATGCGGAAATTTTTTTTTTTGGAAAATCTTGATGCTTCATTATGTACATATATTATTTATGCATGAGATAAACAATTATTTTCTATAGTCCATATCAGAGTTAAATGACCATGGGCATTTTTTGAATCGCTCTGAAACAAATGAGAGAAATAACTCGGCTTTTAGTACTATCTAGAGTTGACATTGCTTTATCGTTTTACAAAGTCAATGGAAA